ATAAAATAGATAAATACTACAAATACGAATTTATTTCACTGTTGCCGTTTAGAGGTAGTATCAGTACTAGATGCTCAACCATTTTATTGTTATCATTTGAAAGTTTAATTGTTAGCACATAAGTCTAAATGATGTAAAACGTACATATAATGAATAAATAAATATATTATGTAAATATATTTTGTTATATATTTTTTTTCTTTTTAAAATTTAATTTAAACGTTATTTCTAAGCAATTATTTTAAGACAATTCTAAAATCATAACGTCATACTAATGTCTACCGATGACGTCATACTAATGTCATCTAATGACGTAATATTATTGTCATCTGATGACGTCATACTGTTATCATCTGATGACGTCATACTGTTGTCATCCGATGACGTCATTTATGCTGTGACAAATGGCCGTCAGTATAGGGTCATTTGTACATCATACTGACCGTCAGTTTGACGTAAATCCTGACGAAAACGTACGTAAAAAAGACGTCTCATTGACGACGTTGTGTGACGACCTGGGAAAATTTTAAAAACTATGAAAAAGAAAATAAAAATAAGTACAGTCATATTTATAACTCATTGTATAAACAAAATATTAGACTAATATAGTATAATTGATGTAAATATATTACTATTATAAATTCTACATCTTACATGATTTAGAAAAATATAACATTATATGATTCATCAGTATTATTGTTACAAAATTAAATAAGTTATTTTCTATTTTAGAGTCATTGTCCGATGCATATTTATTACTTATAACCTATCCATTTCCTTGGAACATAGCCTTTAACTAATTGAAACACTTCCAATATATCTCAGCTTGCTATGGTTGCTTCTAATCATCTCCATGTATTTTATCAGCATAGCTCATAAATATTTCAATATACGAAACATCAGTAACATCCAGATTAAATTGAATGCAGTATGCTGCTGTACATGTTTCCTTAATGCTGTGTCACGAAAAATTATTGACTGACATGTGTTGCATTGTCGATCAAATTTATGCATTAAAACACAAGCTCCTAGAGATCAGTGTTTACCTTTGTCGACAGTAAATAGTAAAATATATGAGGTTCGGTCATCCTTGTTTATGTACTTTACATACATTATAGCTTTTTATTAATAGAAACTTATTATGAAAAATAAAAATATATACTATATTATATATACAATTTTTAAATTATTTTATACGTTAACAAAAATGCACCTATGTATGTGTATACTCATAATACAAGATATGTCATCACCAATTAACCTTAAAACATAATCTTAACTACCCAAACTGTAAACACTGCAAAAAATTATGCACCTTATGAATGTTTCAATTGCTTTCACTTTCGTCTTGCATTAGCTGATTTCGTCTATTATATAAAACGACACTCTAACTAAAGTAAAACTATATACATTAATAAATCAGAACAAATAACACACGCACAAAATATGACAATAACTAAAAATTCAACCGCACATATACTTTATTTCTTCCCTAAAAGATACTTATTTAACTAAAATTTCACATAACGTGATATCCTATGAGTTTATCTTTACGCAAAATAATTAGGCATTAAATTATGAAATAATTTTATATTCTAGTTATTGTAGCGCATGACAAGCGATAGACCGCACGCTTCGAGCGGCAAGCAAGGAGAGGGAGAGGCGCGACGTATGATACCGCACCGCAAAATATTATCACATTGATTTTTCAACGATAGGAAAATAGCGCGAAAATGATGTCGTGTGTTACGTATAAGACATTCTGCATATGTACAACATTGTACATTTACAAACTCCATTCAAGATTTATTAAAAAGAGAACGACGAATACAGTCATCCACGATTTATGTATATCTAAATTGTTTATAAACAGCGTGTAGCCCTTTATTATTTGCAAACTTGCCGACGAATTCATTTCAACTTTAAAAAACATGTGGTTTAACATTATTACTTAATTCAACATGAGATTTATTACAATTCGTTGCGCGTGAAATAGAGAGAGAGAGAGAAAAGAGAAAGAGAAAAAGAGAGAGAAAGAGCGAAATAAGGGAACGAAGAGAGATATATGTACATATTTAATCACGATACTTTCTGATTAACGTATGATACGTATGAAGCGAGAAAAATCTATAATTCACGTTACGCATTTTATAGATTTTCTGTCTTTTCATATGCATCATGCGTTAATCAGAAAGTATCATGATTAGTATATAAATTCATGTATCTCTTTCCGTTTCTCTATTTCGCTCTCTCTCTCCCCCTCCCCCCTCCCTCCTCTCACCCCTCTCTCTTTCTCTCTCTCCCTCCTTCTCTCTCGCTCTCTATCTCTATGTCTCTGTCTCTTTCTTTCATGCAAACATCGAATTGTGATAGATTTCATGTTAAATTAAGCAGAATTAATATATTAACGTCCAAATGTATATGTCGACGTTGCAAACGATAAAGAGCTTCACGATATTTATAAAACAATTTAGTAGCATAAATCGTGCATGCGTAAACGTATTCGTCGTCTCCCTCATATATCTTGAATGGAATTATTGTAAATATACAATATGTTGTACAATATATTGCTTTGTATCAGTTTCATTATTGTATTATAGGCATTATGTATGTAATTATATGACTTTTAGGTTAAAATTATATATAGACTTTCATGCGATTGTAAAATTATTTAAGACGCAAGATTCAAACAAAGAAATATCTTTGATGATTGCCGAACGTTGCGATCATATATACAATCTGATTAAAATCTCTGCGGTTTTTTGTTATCTCTACATTCTCATCGTCAGATGTCGATGACAATCAATTTTCAAAAGTCTTGCGAATCATCAGTTGGCGAACTTTGTATGGAAAGCGTCTCTTGAGAAAAATACGTACACGTTGGCAAGATTAAACGTTTGTTTATATTCAAACACAATGATAACTTATTAACTATTACGAGGCCATGTGTAACGAGCAAATAAAAATTATTATAAATCTTGGAAAAACTTTAATTAAAAAAAAAACCAATTACAAACGTTTCGAACTGTACTCAGTCTTCTTCAGTGCGCAATAAACATTATAATAAATAAATAAATATAAATAAAAATTCTAATAAAAAGTCGCAATACAATGTCAAAATAAATTAAATAATTATGTCAAAATTAAAAGGCGAAATACGCTAACAATAAATTTAAATTATTAAAAATAGTTCAACCCGAACAGTCCCAATTAGATGCAAAAATCGCATTAAAATAATTTATCCGGCTAATCATTATTATTTTAAAAGTTATTATTGAGAGCTCGGAGTGGCACTTAGACATTGCTCCAAACCAACCGCTCATCATTAGTCGGCGAAAGACTAT